CCCAACCACCCTACTCCGACCAGAACACAATGGGCCACTCAAGCCGTTCCCAGCCCTGACAACAACCTCGCTCAGAACGACCATAGATCGGGACCTCGGCAGACCGAGGCAAGAGTTCGGAGACGGAAACGCAGCCTCCCAAACCTCACCATCCATAGTGCCAGCGAGAGGTGTACGAACAAGTATGAGAGACACGGTGGGGGGCAGCCACCGGCGGAGCCGGTCAGCCGCTGAGGAGGCGCTCAAGATTGCAGAGACGGGAAATTCAAGATGGCCGCGATTTGGGAGATAAGGGGAGAGAAGGGTTACTTTTACATTGAATGAATGATATTTGTGTTAAGGGTTGTGGATGCCTAAAATGTCTTAGTAGGCGCTGGGTTAGGGCATAGCATCTAGGAAGAATTTAGACTGGACCTGAACGAGATCATAAAAATATTAATAAATTTATTCATATTTTGTATCTATACATAGCTTTTACAAAATACGTTTTATAAACTATAGTAATTGGTATAGTTACATACAAAGATTTTAAAAAATATGATATACTTTATACTTATTATATTAATTTTGATTATTTTATTATTTAATTTTGATTATTTTATATTTCATATATCAAAATCAAATTGTATTTGTATTATTTTTTTAAAAATAAAGTAAAAATATATTTATAAAAACTATACGAGTGCCTAGGCGCCGACCGCCAGTCTAGCTAAGCGTAACTAACTTCGGAATCGCTTGGACAACCAAGACTGACATGATGGCGCCTAATTGGGGGTGATTTATTTATTTAAAAAAAAAACAAGTGGACAAAAACAAAAACAAAAAAAAAGGAGTGGAAAAAAATCAAAACCACGTATTTTTGGAATACGTTTTCCTAATTAAATATTATTAGAGAAAACGTATTCCGGTAATACGTTTTATAAATGTTTTTGTAAAATAAAAAAAAAAAAAATTCCGCTATAAAGTGGAAGGAATTCAATTCATAAATAGTAATTATAAAACGTATTTCTGAAATACGTTATAAAGTTTAATTTACAAAAAAAAAATAATAAAGTAAACGTATTCAAAAAATACGTTTTATAATTAAATAAAAGAAGAAAACGTATTACAGGAATACGTTTTACAATCAAATATAAAAAAAACTCTTCTCTTCCCTCACTTCAGAGACGAGATTTAGCAGGAAATCAGAGCACTCTTCACTCTTCGAACTCTTCGAGCAACCAGCTGCGTATTGCTATCTCTAACCCCGATTCAAATTGACAACAACGACACGAACCTTATTTCCGGTTAATTCTTTTGCA